AACATTACTTTATGTTTATATTATATTGAAATGTTAAGGTTAGATTGGTTGGTTCGCTCACATAGGAGGGTAAGTGTGGGTTCCAGTCGCAACCCGGTTTGGGTCGTGACAAGAAGAACATATAAGATTATTAGAAAAATTTATACATATAATTAAATATTTAGGTATAAGTTTAAGTAAAAAGAAAGCAGAAATTATGAAACCACAGATAGAATTTCTAGGAATACAAATAGATAGGAATGGAATAAAAATGCAAAACCATATAGTACAAAAAATAATCACCCTTGATGAAAATATAGATACAAAAAAGAAATTACAACCCTTTCTAAGATTAGTAAATCAAGTAAGAGAATATATACCAAAATTAGCAGAGCATTTAAAACCATTACACAAAAAACTTAAAAAAGATGTAGACAATAAATATAAAGAACATATAAAAAATATTAAGAATTTAAGTAAGAAATTACCAAAACTTTACTTTCCTGATGAAAATAAAACATTTACTCATATTGTTGAAACAGATTCAAGTGATCATAGTTATGGAGGAGTTTTAAAATACAAATATGAAAAGGAAAAAATAGAACACCATTTTAGATATTATTTAGGATCTTATGCAGAAGCACAAATAAAATGGAAAATAAATAGAAAAGAATTATTTGCATTATATAAATGTTTATTAGCATTTGAACCATATATTGTTTACAATAAATTTATTGTAAGAACAGATAATACACAGGTAAAACGGTGGATAACAAAAAAGGTAGAAGATTCAGTTACAACAAAAGAAATAAGGAGATTTTTAAAACTAGCCTTTTCCTTTCAGAAAAAGTTGTGACTTTGATGAAAATTTTTGACTTTTTGAAAGGTTGTAACTTTTCCAAAGTGTTTGTGACCTTTTCGATAAGACACAATAATAATTTGCCCACTATTCTTTGTTGTCTACAAATGGAGGGCTTTCCTCTCTATTTAAAACAACGAAAACATTTGAACTTCTTCTTCTGGACAATTAAATATTTGTGTACTTTGCTCCTATTGAATGACTCACTGACACCACTATGTTTGTATCAATACACTGGTGAATATAATCGTTATCTTGAGAGGATCTATTCCTTTAAAACTCGGGTGTAGAAGAGAATAATTTCCTTAAGGGGACACTGTGCATTAAATTCTATCTTTTTTTATTCTATTAATACACTGGTGAATAGAATCGTTCTATCTTGTTTCATTCTATTATTGAAGATCCTAATATGTTTGTCATAATTTATGTTTATTGTTTTTGAGTACATGATTTTAACTTTATAGTTTATGTTTATGCAAAGTTACTGTTAGTACAAATTAAAAAAAATGTCAATTGACTATTCAAATAAGTTTCTCTATTGAAATTGTTGAAGATACAATAAAAAAAAGTCTTTACAAATCTCTAATTTCTTCATCAACAATGTTATTCCTTCACATACATGGATGCGGTTTAGAAAATCCTTGGAGAGTTAATAATTTTGCATGCCCATATTTTTTTTTTGCTTTTATGTTGTTTTATCTATTTTTACTAACTTTTATCAGTAGATAATATGAGTACTTTAAGGATTGAAAGTTGAATGAAGTGTTAGTATATTTTTGTAGGTTTGTTATTTCAAAACATAAGATTTTTTTTTAGGTTTGAACGATTTGTTATCATCATTAGATATGTCATAATTTACTCTCCTTAATGTATGTTTTTTTTTCGTTGTTTTGTTGTCTCCTTAAAATTGTATTTATTATTTTTTCATTTGGTAGGTATATGATCTCCCATGGACAAAACTTTTTTCTTTTAATGTTTTTCTTTTTTTCCTGCTCATTCGATTCTTCTAAATTTTTTTGGTGTGAGTTATGACTATTTTTGGCAAGTTTAATTTGAAATATATGAAATAAAACCTACTCTAAATAAAATTAATATCTTAAGCTACAAAAGATATGTCTATTATATAGATTTGTGATCCTTAATGTCCCAAGTCATTTGAGCATTTGAGTTATCTAGGTTAGACTCATTTTTAGTTTTTTAATGTTCGAGAATATTTCTTTAACATCAGTCTAGAATCCAACATTTTGATCTATTTATACTTTAAAAATGTAACAATATAACATACAAATTTTGAAAAAAAATGTAAAGTTACAATATGAAGTATCTATAAGGGCCTTAGAGCAGAAGTTGAATGAAGGATGAATTTCTAAAAAGATTAAAAATATTATTTTATTGTTGTTTTAAATTTATTTCCTCATTCTATAATTTTTTTTAAAGTAACAAAGTAATAATAATGAAAAATGATGAATGTTTGAGCCTCAGACAAGTAGATTGTCTCTAAAAAATTTATTTATGTTGTTGTGGTGTACATTTTAAAGGTCTTAAAATTATTTATAACTAATATTGATATGCGAAACTTTCACCTAAATTTACTTCACAAGGAGTTACTCTAATCATAAAATTATCCGATTCTATATTTTTCATGTAAAAATATAGAAAAAGTGATGTAGCTGCATAAAAACATCACTTAAGTTTAACAAGACAATTATATCATCAAAAAAATATTATGATAAATTATGTAAGAGATAAAATGATTAGATATTAAGATATTTTTAATCATTAATTATATATTTACAATTCTTGATATATGAGATAACTTCAAATCATTTATAGATCCTCCGAAATGTATTTGTTGAAAGCAGAAGACACTAATCATATGTTCCACAATGGTACACTGGCAAAGGCTCTATGAAATCACTAAGGCTCTATGAAATCACTATTGCTCCACATTTGGAATTAGAAGAAATGATAACTCCTTTATCTCTCTTATCTAGCTGGTGGATCCATCATTCTTGTAATAACATTACCACTTTCACTATTAAAATCATCTCAAATATATTATTTGGGAATTATGGAAGAGCAGATGCAGCAGCAGGTATGGTAGCAAAAAATTGTTTCTCCTAAAATTATATATCTAATTTGTCAAAATGTTTTGTTGTCTGTGAAGCAACAATTTAGAAACTTTAAAGAAACTCTCTTCTGGAATGATCTGGTTGGCCTTACAGATAAGAAAGTTGTGAATAAAGTTTGTAAACTTGTCTCCTGGACACCGCCCATCACTCATGTCTATAAGCTCAATAGTGATGGAAGCTTCAAAGAGGATAAATGTGGTTGTGGAGGCATAGTAAGAAATTGGGAAGGCAAACTGATCATCATGGTTTTTTCTATACAATTTATGGGGGATTCCAGCATCTTGGGAGAAACAAAGGCTCTATTCTATGGCTTTCATTGGTGCAAGCTTAATGGAGTTTCTCGAATTCAACTGGAAACTGATTCTTTAATGCTAGTTGCTTGCATTAAAGATGTCTATAAAATTCCTTGACGGATAGCGCCTTTAATCATGAGGATTCAAGAAACTCTTCAAGGTATAGATTGGTCTATTAACCATTGTTATATAGAAGAAAATCAGGTTGCAGACAAACTAGCTAACTTGAGCTTTCAGAGCGACAGGATATATTTGTCCATTGAAAACATCCCTCAACTAGTGTAAGGCTTGCTAAACATGGACAAACACAATATTCCTAGCTTTCGAGTGAGGAAAAAAATAATCATGAGATTTCTTATGATGATGTGTTTTTATCTAATTTCTCTTGGTTTTTTAATCCACATTCTAAAGAATATTCTAGAGGGGATCCCTTTGACTTTCCCGTAAATTTAAACTCCATCCCAATAGCAAAATGCTAGTATTAAACTACTTAGTTATGGGCATTATCCATAACATTTTATCATTTTGGAGAGGTTAGACATCATATCCCTCTTGCTCATGTATTTTGTTATGTCCTTCTAATTATTCAATATACAAGGTAGGGGTTATGCCTAACCCCCATATAACAAATTAGTGTATTTACTGTTTTCGTTGTTTTACTTAGTTTTACCCAGTCAACGTGTTTGTTCCTATATTTTAGGATAGGCTAGAGTCAATAACAAAGTATATCAGTACTTTGATATGGGAATATTTTTTGCACCTTTTTAGGAGTCAAGTTATACTACTTTTAGGAGTCAGTTGTAGCTTTAGAGTTCACGTTATATGTTTTTCTTTTTCTGTATTTTTCACATAAGCTTTCAATAAAAAGGTTAAGTTATTCTCCAGTTTTTTGCCTCTTGTGATCATTTTACTAAGAATTTTCTGTTCAACTCTTTGTTTTATGGTATCCGAGCCAGGTTGGAATTCTTCCATCTTTGTTGTTGTTATCGTTTGGTGAGAAAATTCTTGTTGTGTAATATGGATCAATTTAATAGGGGAAGTGGTGCGAATGTACAGAATGGTGTTCAGAAGCTTGTAGGAACTAACTACAACTATTGGAGGATGTGTATGGAGGCTTATTATCAAGGTCAAGACTTGTGGGAACTGGTATATGGTTCAGATGTAGAAATTCCAGCAGATACCCCTGAAAATGTTGAACCACGTAGGAAATGGAAGATCAAGTGTGGGAAGGCTCTATTTGATTTAAGGACATCGATTAACAAAGAGTTCATTGATCATCTTTGTGATGTTGGTTCTCCACAGCAAGTCTGGGGAACTCTTGAAAGGTTATTTTCCAAGAAGAATACAACAAGATTACAACTCTTGGAAAATAAATTGGCAATGACGATGCAAGGAACCATGTCGATTTCAGAATACTTTTTGCGAGTGAAGAATATTTGTGCTGGAATTTCTGAACTAGATGTAACCGAGAAGATTAGTGTAGCCTGTTTAAGAAGATTCCTCATCCGTGGTTTAAATAAGGAGTATACACCTTTGTTACCTCCATACAAGGGTGGGCACAACAACCATCAGTTCAAGAATTAGAAAAATTGTTGTCTAATCAAGAAGCTTTGGCTAAACAAATGGCCAAAAGTTTCAACTCTGAACATGGAGTTGTTCTTCTTTTAAAAGGAAAGTTAAATGAGGATGAACCAGAGGAAGGTACTAATTGAAGGAAGGTTTCTTGAAGTAGTTCACAAGTATACAAATCAATCAGGTGTCATAGGTGTGGGAAGCTTGGGCATATTCAAAGAAATTGTCGTGTTAAGATCTCCAAATCAAATGTTGCTTGTGAAAATGAACAAGATGATGAGCCTAAATGGGAGCATTGCTTTACTATTGAAGACGTTGAAATAAAATATAAAGTAGTGTTTGAATCGGAACCAAATAAATCTCATATCAATTTTGTTGATTTCAAGAAGGAGTGCATCGTTGATTCTGGTTGTACACACCATGTGACTAGCGATGATTCATTATTTTCAGAGTTGCGACAACACAAGGGAGAAAGAGTCATTGTGACGGTTGATAACTCGACTTATCCAGTAGTGAAGGAAGGTGTGGTTGAAATTGGTATTAATAATACAAATATCAACCTAAATGATGTCTATCATGTTCCATGCTTGAACAAGAATCTAGTTTCCGTTTCTCAAAATACTGATTCAGGAAAATATGTTTTGTTTGGTCCAAATGATTTGAAAGTACTTGATAGCATGAAAAATATTGAAGCTGGCATGCTCGATTGGGGCATTTAGGTTATCAAATGTTGCAAAAGATCTCTTCAGATAAACTCTTAGATCGCATGCCACCTCTGAAAAATACACAAGAAAAAGTGATTTGTCAAGGTTGCCAGTATGGGAAATCGCACCGTTTTCCTTTCAAAAGCTCATCTAATTGTATATTATCTCTATTTATACTAGTGCACACTGACTTACTGGGACCAAAAGAACAACATGTTTTAGTGGCTACCAATATGCAATGATATTGGTAGATGACTTCTCTAAATTTACTTGGGAATATTTTTTTAGGGAGAAAAATGAAGCACTTCCCATGTTCATTGAATTCAGCGGCATCAAGGAAAAGGAGTTTGAGCAAAAAAATAAAGTGTTTATGGAGTGACAATGGTTGTGAATTCATGTCAACGAAGTTCTTTCAGTTTTGTGAAGAAAATGGCATTCAAAGACAAATGATGTGTCCCAATACCCCGCAACAGAATGGGGTTGTAGAAAGAAAGGTGGCACATCTCTCTTCAATAAGTCTTTCATGGCTGCACAATAAGAGTCTACCTCGCGATCTATGGGCAGAAGCATTTCAATGTGCATGTCATGTCATAAATTGTTTCCCTCCTTATCCTGGTAAGGAAAAGATTCCTTTTGAATTTCTGTATGATCAAAAGCCAAATGTTAGTTACTTTTGGGTCTTTGGTTCTATCTGCTATGTTCATGTTCCTAAATCAAATAGAACCAAGCTTGATCCAAAAGCAAAGAAATGTATGTTTGTTGGTTATGATTCATACACGAAAGGGTGGAAATGCATGGATCCAAAAAACAAAAAGTTTGTTAATTCTAGAAATGTTGTGTTCGATGAAGTGTCATCTTAGTGTACAACCCCAAAATCAAGTTTGCAGAATGTCACGCTTGATGATTACCAAAATGAGTCATTGTTTCCTGAAATTAATGCTCAAGGAGTTGATCAATCCCCTAATCCAGCTATGGAGCCCTTGTCTTCAGAAAATGGACAGGAAATGGTTAGAAAGGTCTTTGAGGGAGAAACGACAACCAAATCATCTCAAGGATTATCAAGTAAATCTAAACCGGTGCATTGTAACTTCCTGTTTCTTTACTGGAGCATTTGATAAAGAACCTACATGCTATGAGGACGCTAAGGGCTGTCAAAAATGGGAAATAGAAATGCAAGACGAAATTGATGTCTTGAGGAAGAATGATACATGGGAGCTAGTACCAAAGCCAGAAAGCAACAAAGCAGACACTTGTAAGTGGGTCTATCGATTGAAAAAGAAATCAGACGACACAATCGAAAGATGCAAAGCTCGTCTCGTTGATCGTGGATTTTCTCAAAGTTATGGGCAAGACTGTGAAGAGACAGTCAGTCCTGTGGCGAAAATGGTAACCGTAAGATCGGTTTTCTCACTTGCTGCTTTTAGAAATTGGAAATTATGGCAATTTGATGTAAAGGATGCATTTCTTTATGGAGAGTTGGATTGTGAAGTTCTAATGGATAAACCTCAAGGTTTCATCTCTAAGCAGTTCCCCAACCATGTTTGTCGATTGAAGAAGGCGTTGTATGGTCTCAAACAAGCTTCACGTGCTTCGTATGGAAAAATTGCACTATTTTATTTTTTGTGGATTTAATGTTTGTGATTCAGATCCTAGTTTGTTTGTAAAATTAGAATCAAAAATACATTTGTTTGTTTTATTATACATTGATGATGATAATTACGAGAAGTGATGAAGAAAAAATATCTCGATTGAAGGATGATCTGTCAATTCGATTTGAAATGAAGAACTTAGTTGAGGTTGGATGTTTTTTTGGTTTGGAAGTGGAAAAAATTAGCCAAGGGTACTTTATATGTCAAAGAAGATATGCTAAGAGTTTGTTGAAGCATTTTAGTATGGGGGAGGAAAAAGAAATGACAACTCCAATGGAGATAAATCTTAAGACGGAAAAAGATGAAGGTAAGTTGTTGAAGGATGCTAGGTCATTTCGACAACTTGTTGGTAGTTTAATTTACTTAACTATCACAAGGCCGGAATTGCATTTTCTGTTAGTGCTGTTTCTCAGTTTATGCAGGATCCAAGAACTTCTCATTTAGAGGCAGCAAAAAGGATTCTAAGTTACATAAAAGGTTCAGTTGATTATGGTCTTATGTATGAGAAAGGGACTGATTTTGAGTTGCAAGGATTTACAAACGCAGATTGGGCAGGTGATATGGCTAGTCATCGTTCAACTTCAGGGTATTGTTTCAACCTTGGATCTGCGGCTCTTTCTTGGTGTAGCAAGAAGTAATCCACTGTTGCTTTGTCCATTACAGAAGCAGAATATATAGCAGTGACAATGACAGCTCAAGAAGTTATTTGGCTAAAATGTTTGATGGGAGATACTTTTGGCAAAGTGGACTATGTTGTGAAACTTCAATGTGATAACGAGAGTGACATCAAACTTGCTTCAAATCCAATTTTTCATGGGCGAAAAAAACACATAGAAGTTCGTCACCATTTTATTCGAGAGAAAGTATTGAATCAAGAAATTGAGTTGAAAGGAGTTCATACTAGTGCACAAGTAGCAGATATCTTTACAAAGGCTTTGCAAAAGCATGATTTTGAAAAGTTTAGAGCTGCTCTTGGGATCATTGACAATAAATATGCACTAAGGGGGAGTATGACAAATTAGTGTATTTACTGTTTTCGTTGTTTTACTTAGCTTTACCAAGTCAACGTGTTTGTTCCTATATTTTAGGATAGGTTAGAGTCAATAACAAAGTATATCAGTACTTTGATATGGAAATATTTTATGCACCTTTTTAGGAGTCAAGTTATACTACTTTTAGGAGTCAGTTGTAG